TGAGGAGGGGGTGGCTTATATAGAGTCCGCCAGACCCCTCCGGCCCTCAGTTATGCAGGGTTTAAGATACAATAAGATCGGGCGTTACTGGTAACGCTACAAATAAAGTGCTATGATGACCATAAAAGCTACTTAATGACCGACGTTTGCGTGCAGAGTGACTTTAGGTCTCCTTGCTGTCGAGTGGATGGCTTCATGGTCGAGTGTCTTTGAGTCCGTCGAGTGGAACGTTTTCGGGTCGATTGAAAGGTGATTTCTTCTAGATATATCCTTGGGGAGGGTATCTTGGACAGGTCCATGACCCTACCCTGGGTATATAGCTTCATCAGACTCCGGAGCTAGGAGAAAAGGGCCCCGCAAGGGGGACTGCACAGAGGAGTCTGGATTTATAGAGATCTGTGTTGAGTCATCTGATGAGGAGGACTACATGGATGAAACCACGATGATGCAGACTGGCCTTGCAGATGCGGAGCGTGCGAACGAGCATGTTCTAAATTCCAAGATATCGATCAAGGCTATCGAGTGCTCAATTGGAATAGTTCAGGGGGCAGTAGACGCTGATGGACAACTACATTGCTCCCAATGCCCTCTTTGCTGACAATTTTCGCCGGTGCTTTCAGATGCGAAAAAATATCTTTTATTGCCTCTATCATGGCATCTGGTCCTTTGATGACTGCTTCATCTTTCAGAAGGATGTCATAGGAGGATTGGATTCTCTGGTTACCAGAAGTGTACGACCATATTGCGGATGCTTGCATATGGCATGGCCGCAGATTCGTGGGATGAACACCTTCGGATGTGTGAGAGAACATGCGGAGACGCCACGGTTAGATTTTCTACTACCGTGGTCGAGGTGTTTGGACCTCGGTACTTGAGAGAACCAATCGCCGCACAAACTGAGAGGCTCTTGGCAATGTTCGAAGCAAGAGGCTGGTTAGGTTTGCTCGAATCTCTTGACTGCATGCACTGGAGATGGAAGAACTATCCAAAAGCTCTACAAGGGCAATATCAGAGCCATGTGAAGAAGGTCACCATCATTCTTGAGGAAGTTGCATCACGTGATCTCTGGATTTGGCATGCTTTCATTGGCAATGCCCCGGTCTCACAATGACAATAATGTCCTGCAGCGTTCTCCATTGTTTGGTAGGCTGGCTGAGGGGAAAACTCCTCCTTGCAACTATACCATCAATGAGCATGAATACAACATGAGCTACTATCTAGTTGGCAACATATATCCTCCATGGGTTACCTTTGTCAAGACCATCTCTGAGCCAGTTGGCCTGACATGGTCTAACTTTTCCCAAAGACAAGAAGGATCTAGAAAGGATATGGAGAGGGCATTTGGAGTGCTCCAGACCCGTTTTGTAGCTGTTCAAGGAACTACTAAATAATGGGATTCAGAGACCTTGTGGGAGGTGATGACATGTTGTGTGATCATGCACAATATGATCATGGAGGATGAAGGTGAAGATGCTGCCACAACTCTTGAATTTGAGAACATGGAAGATCCTATCCAACTGCCATATCAGAATCCTGCTACGTTTGATGAATTTGGTCAAATGCATCAACAAATTCGGCATCGAGCAACTCATGAACAACTCAAGGAAGAATTGATTGAGCATATATGAACGGTTAAAGAGGACAACTACAGCATATGTGCTAGTTGAATTCAAGTTTGAACTATTTTAATTTAAAAACTTTATTGAAAAATAATATTTAAATTAGAACTACTTTTGTATTTGAACATTTTGAATCATCTATGATTTGACATGTGGTTATTTTGAGCTTGCAGACTTCAAGAATAAAAAGACGATGATGTCTCTGGAACACTAATGCAAGTTTCGCAAGACGATGATGTCCGATGCACTGAGACCCACAAGCCCATTTCTTCCGGATGCGGTGTTTCTTATCTTAAAGTTTGCCACATATTAACTTAAAAAAAAAGAAGGCACATTTCCCCTTGATACTGAAATAAAGAAGCTACATTTTCCTTATGCCGAAAAGAACAGACACTGGTCGCTCCCTCCCCAGGAGCGACACGGGCGGCGACCACAGCCGTACCACCAGCTCTCTCCCCTCATCCCTTCCCTCCCTCGCCGTCGCTGGTGTCCTCCGCCGGGCGAAGCCCGTGCGGAGCCGGCGGCGGCGGGGCATGTTCTTTCGCTGGCTGGCGGGCGCGCGCGAGCAGGGGATCTCGTCACGGCGGTCTTCGGTGTGTCCTGCTCGGGGTCGAGCAGCCGTTGGTGGCACTGCTTGGGGAGGCTGCGGCGTCGCGGCAAGGGGCGGATCTGGCCGTCCTCGGCCGGGGTCGGCGCCGCAGCGGCTGGATGCGCCGCCGCTCGGCGGTGGCTACGGCTGCTCGTGTCCTGCCCAGATCCATGGGGCTCGCGCCCGGATCCGCGTCGGGGCTGCTCGAATGCGTGTTTTGGAGGGTTGCAGCGGTCTGCTTTGGCAGTTTGGGGTTGCAGCGTGTGGCTGCGCTGCAGGTCTGGATCTGGACCGTGAGGGCCGGATCTGTGCGCCGGTGCAGTGGAGGTGGTGGCGGTGGACCGTGCTCCCTGACCCTGGCTGCGCGGGTGAGGCGGTCTCGTGGTGGTGGCTCCGTTGAGTAGCGTGTGGTCGTGGTGGTGGTTGGTGGCGGCGATTTGATTGGGGCATGCGACTTTCTCGGTTCAGTCAGATGGACGGCCTTGATGCAGTGTCTCTGGGCATGGTGAACTCCAGGTGAATGCCTTGCAGTGACCTTGGTCATTGCCGGCGACGACGGCGTCCTAGGATGTCGTTCCCCTCGTTGGAGGAGTCGTCGTGGAGCCCCTTCACCTCCTTTAGGCATTTGGATACAATGCTCTCCGGGTGAAAACCTATGCTTCGGCTTGGGCTGAAGCAGGCGGTGGCGGCGCTCACATCGCATCCTTCTTGGGGGCGTCGCCTTGGAGGTCCAATCTGCCCTGCGTCGATGGTTGGCATCGCCCGACATCTTCGCCATCGGCCAGGCGGGTTCGCGGCCTCGGGGCCGGTGTGGAGGCCGGGGCGGCGGCTCCGGATAGTTGCGTTGTGGAGCGTTGAATCTGGTCATTTGGGTGGCAGAGTCGTTGGCTCATTGGATTCGCGGCCTTGGGGTCGGAGTGGAAGTCGGAGTGGCGGCTCCGGAGAGCGTCTTTCGTTTGCAGGGTGTCGTTTCTGGTCACCGGGGTGACAGAGTCGTCGACTCGTTTGGGACGCGGCCTCGGGGCCGGTGTGTGCGCTGTTGAGGTTTGTATGTCGGAGCGGCGGCTCCGGTTCGTGTTGTTGGGTGTCGATTTTGGTCGCTTGGGTGACGAAGTCGTCGGCTGGTGTGGGTGTGCCACACATGTATCGGATTTCGGCCAGTTTTCCTTATTAACTGGTCATTTCTCTTCTTCTATATGAAAAGGCAGAGCTCCTGCCGGTTGCTCGAAAAAAAAAAACAGACACTGGAGCACATTGAGCTCCACCTGTTTTGGTCTGTTTACAGAGTTTACAACAAGATTGCGAGCCATAGACGCCTTCGGTGACTGCTGAGTAGCCATATGCGATGGAATGGTCGAAACCACCATTGGTAAACATCGCCAAACAAGGGCGTGCGCACTCACGTGCTGCATTCAAATGATTTGACTTTCCGAGTTTGAACATGAGACTAGCGCGCGATTCTTCCCATTTCAGCATCGCCCGGAGAAGATATCAGGCCAACTCCAACTCGTGACCCTAAACGAATGTTAGTTTCATTCGCTTTTCGTCCGTTTAGGATGGTAATGAGGCTGTGTCCGCCCGGATTCGTGGATGCGACGGTTGTGCACCCAGCCGCATTTCAGCCGCGTCTTGTCCGCATACATTTTTTTTCGCAAACACATATCTTTTATTTTCAACATTAATTTTTGATACATGGAAGCATATCACCAAATTTTGACTAGAATAGCAAGATCAAAAAACACAACAACCACAAGAAGACATTTTAGAAAATAACCAACTTTCATAACTGCTCTGTAAGTTGGACTAGTGCCTTCTCGATGCATTCATTGTTGATCTGCGGAGACTCGACCTTGCGTGCTTCTTTCCTCTTCGGGTCTAAAGAAGTATACGTTGCTTCCTTGCATCTAGTTTGATCTCTAGCCTCTATTCTAGCAAGAAGTGCACTAGTCTCATCTCTAGCATCTATTCTAGCTAAAAGTGCACGAATATCTACTAAATTACGCTCTATCAATATATCGATATATTCTTATTCCCAATACCAAAAGTTGCATCCATTCTACACAATGAAAATTTAAGTTAGTACAACTAGTCAAATCCAAGAGCACAACCGAAGCTAAAGTAGCACATACCTCATCGTTTGAGCACTTGATGAACACCCATCCAAGATATTCCGGCGTTATAGACACGCGGTGCAAGACCTTCCTTGGACAGTGATCACACTTAATGAGTGACACCAGTGCGCCTACGTGTCTTTAGGCCAGCACCGAGCCCGGCTTCTGGCCGTTCGTGCATCTGCCGCGAACCGCCGACGGTGTAGATCCAAGTGGCTAGAGAAGGAGTCAGTACCTGCATGCGGCCTTGTCGGGGCCTTCTGGCCCGGGGCCCGGCCAGTCCATGGCACGGCCCGGCCTCCCGCAGCCGGATGAAGCTCAAGTCCGGCCGGATCAGGCGGTGGCGTCAGTGTCTTGTCAGCCAAACTAATTACCGTGTCGTCGTGCCCGGTTTGCCAAACATACCGTAAGCTAATATACGGGCGTCTTCAACTCATTTTGAAGAGATATCGGTCAGTGTCAGTCAGTCACGCTCATGATGATGGACAGAATGTATTTTTCAAAAAAACAAAAACTAACCCTTCTGGTCCAGCGTGGTATCGAAGTGATTAATTAATATTCGATTGATTTTATTCATTTTATTTCAACACTCCAAGTTATTAACATATCATGGAAGTTCTTACACGCACGCACACGGTTGAACCATGAACCGATGGGAGACCGATGTGGAACTTTGGATCACTACCCCGCCCCGGTGAAGTTGAAGTTGCTGCAGGAGAACCCCCTGGCTGGGAGGTACGGGGTGAAGCTGAGCGTCTTCTTGTCGTTGTCGAGCACCACCAGCTTGTTCTCCATTTGGAACCCTCCGATCACCACCGCCGGCGCCCCGCCGGTGCCGCCTCCCGCCTGGACGAACGCGAAGCACGCCGTGGCGCTGTTCACCTGCGCCATGGAGTTGCCGCCCACCACCGTCCAGTTCGTCCCGCCCTCCAGCATCACGTCCACCTGGGGCACGGAGTAGCCCGACAGCGTCGGCGACAGCTTGGACGAGTCGTAGCACAGCTCGAACGGCGCCACGGCCGCGACCTTCGCGCTCGAGCCCATGGCGCGGTCGAAGGCCGTGATGAAGGGACGGTACACGTCGCTGCGGAGCTG